AAGAATGTGTACTTACAAGATTTGCAAATTGGTCAATGTCTTCTTTGAGCAAAAACAAGGACTTAAAAAGGGTTTTGTGGAAGATTAATCCATTGCATAGGTTGAATTCTTCACAGCTTACAACAAGTAGAGTCATATAACATACACATTCTGCTTTTGAATGATAGGAAATTCTTTTCTCAAAGAAAGAAAGAAAGAAAGAAAGAAAGAATTACCATTTTTGAAAAGCAAGCTTTATAGATCAAATAATAGCACAATATAAAGTGGATGTTTACACTGTTAGTGATAGCCATTAGGATTGTCTTTGCTTTGGATGAGAAGAACACCATCTTCTTTCCAAACTATCCAGTCTTCACACAAAGCAGTAGTCACCTTTACATATAGCCGATGCTCCTATTTAAATCATCACATCATCCCAAAAGTATCAGAGGCAATGCGAAAAAGAAGCTTAACACTTTCATCATTAAGAACAATCTTCCTTAATAAGAGCTACAATTTTGTTTCATCACATTCCTTACTCCTAATTTTGCGGTAATCGGTTAAAACACTTAGTTTGCAAAAGCATCTTATAATTAGTAATTTTCTCTTTTGATAATATATCAAACTCCATCTGATTACAAAGACAGGTTTAAAATCTAAGATGCTTGATTTTGGAGGCTATGTTGAAATGTTCTAATTTGTTAAAGGAAATGTTATATCGAATTCCCTTACCTCCTTAAAAACCCTAGCGGCCAATTCCTCTACAGTGTCATTGGCAAGCACAAGGACGACTCTTTGAGCAAGTATTTGTCTAGTGTCATAATGCTTGTCAACAAAATGAATTGTTAGACCTGAGTATCTAATCAAGCACAAAAAGATTAGCTCAGTTATAGAGAAGTCAACTTTCAGTATGCAATCGATAAACCAAATGTAAAAGAAAGGGAAGAGAAATAGCATGCGAAACATACGGCATTTTGCAATGTACCTTGCTCTAGAACCAATAACTGCTTTATACACCTTCATACCATAATAACCTCTGCTTCCAAAAGCTAGAAGCAGAGATAGATGGATGTTTAGAATTGATCTTGGATAAGCCCAAATCAACTCAACTGGTATAAGTTTCAGGTATCCAACTAGAAGAATAAAGTCCACCCTGACTCTCTTGATTAAGATAAATATAACATATTAAAAGTAAGTAGTTGCTATATATGTCTAAACATTATTGAACTGTTTTAAGTAATAAGAAAATGAAGAGAAACTTTGACTTGAGTCTTCAGAGGCATTTAGAGATCTTCTTTGGTTATATTGGGTTTAATAATTTATTATATTCATTAGAATACTGTCTAGTCTAGAGAACATCTAGGCATAATAGATGGATAAAAGGTTTATTCATCAATCAGCTATCACAACAAATATAGAGATCTTGCACTTCACAATCTTTCAGTACTCTTTTTTCCTTTAGAAGTCCAATCCATGACTCCATATGTGATTGACAACTAAGATAAGGACTATAAGGGCATTTGGACCTAAACTTAGGATTGACAAAAACAAGACCTTTCAACAATAGCTAGGGTCAGTAACTTGAATCACCATACACATTTGGGCTAGCAAACTTCCTTCCTAATAGTCAAAAAAACAAAAAGAAAAACTTTCTTTGATTGACAACTGTAGGATGAAAAGGTATACTAAACCACTAAAAGACCTCTTACTATGCCTCTAAACATATATTCTTGCTTCTTGTTTTCGGAGTGTCAAGTTGAGGGTAGGAACGCTATTGGATCCCTTTATTCATGATCCACATAGATATACCAAACTAGCAAACCAAGTACAAGACTGATGCACCATTCACAAATGTAAAGTAAAAAACTAAAGAAAGAAAGGAAAACTATAACAATTAATTTTGAAAGAAAAGGCTAAACCAAGAAAAGTTACAAGGTTTTTTGGAGATAGGCCATCAGGTTTATCTCTTGTGTTGAGGAATAAAATAACTGGGATGCCCATACTCTTCGCATACTTTGCACCCCCACAACTTGCAAAATGGAGGAAAAGAATGAATATGATTCCAAAATCTGTAATAAAAAATCTATTAACTTCATTTCTCACTTTCATAGGGTATAAACTAGTAGCCTTTATTTTAGATATTAAAGTTTCTAGTTGTTGCTTTCCCCCAAGTCTTTAGGATTTAGCTACCGCTAATTACAACTTCTAAATTTGTTCTCGTAGTTATACACATAGAATCTAAATATTATTGATCCAGTAAAAGAAATGCAATTGTTTCAAGGTTATTCTATTGCACTTCAAAAGCATAGTATAACTTAAATACTTTGGCAAACTCTCATCAACATTCACTTGCACATGTATAAACTCCTATCTTTAGGGAAAAAAAAAGGTTTACACAAAAATTCAAAGATAAAGCAATGAATAAAATGATAAAATATTGTCACATGGCAGTAATTAAAGGCATGATGGAACCTTAAATGAGAAGCTAAGCCAATGAGGTCATACTTGTAATTATAATTAAACTATGTGTTAACCTTTTGACATTGAATTAGTAAAAATAAAATAAGTATCTTTTTGTCCCAAAGTTTGAATGTCTATGACAATGTTAGTCAAATTAGTTGTCATTTTTTCCATTATTAGTTTTTTCCTTCCACCTCTTATTCTAGAATTTGCATAAAACCTCTCGTTCACCATCTCAACATAAGCAATTCCAAATAATTAATACAAGCACCCCCAACTAGAAATACCCAATGTAAACTCAAAACGCTAATCCATTTAAGAACATGATCAATCTACAAAATCCAATGTCTAAACTTATTTTCACTTCAAAAGCACTAAAAGGGGGAGGACTCACCTTCTTTATTGGTGACCAAAACAACAACATCCCCATTGACAGATCCACCGAGGCATGCTTCATGAATCGACTGGAAATTTGAGCCACCCCCAGATACGAAAACAGTTAGCTTTTTTGTTTAATTACAACTTTTGAATTTTCCTCCCCCATGATGACATTGTCTTTTACTCTTTCACTGCTGTTTTTGCACACTAATTTGCCTTTGGAGAGTACCATTTGTGAAGACATGCAATGTAGTGCTCTCAAGAAGAGCGAACAACGTTTTGCAGCTATAAAAAACAGTTTTTAGAGATTTTTGTTGATGGGATTGTTGAATTTGACAGAAAGGTTTCAGCTTCCATTGATATTTTAAAAGAAGCTCAGAGATATCCCACACTCGGAAGAGGGAGAAGAGGCTGGTGATGTTGCAAACATAGGTAAAGCCTGCACAAGTACAAGGTTTGGCCAAACCTCAAAGGAAATACGACATCGTTTCTTTTGCATTCTAATGGACTAGCTTTGGTCCTAGGGCTCGTTTATATGAATTAACAAGCTTCTTTTTTTGATAAACCATTTTTTCCTCTCCCTCTCTCACACACACACACACACACACACACACAGCTATAGAGTAAGTGGCAATGAAGTTTTTTTGATACATACACATACTCACTCAAATCCTTTAAAAAAAGAAAAAAAAAAGAAGAAAACTTGCATTAATGGGAGCTTGAATCACCTTGGTGTGGGGCCGCACTCTTTAATTTCTAATAATTTATTTGATTTTTTTTATTAACCTTTCGGTATCCGATAATCACATTAGATCCCGACTAATTCAGAATTGAGTCGTGTTAAACCTCATAAGGGAGGAAGCTCTCCCAACGCATGTTTCTTCATTCACAAGACTTAAACTTGAGGTTTTATTTAAGGAGAACCGAGTTCTTTCTACTTGAATCAATAAGACATTGATAATAATTTATTTGATCTGAAGGAAATAGAGAAAAATTTATTATAATTAATTAAATTATTTTGTTGGCTTAATAATTTACTAGTTTTTGTCAAAATAAGATCACCCCCACTCCTTTCCTCTATTTTGCTTCAATTTGTTGCTTTTTTTTTTTTTTTTGAAAAGCAACAAAGGTATTTATTTTTATATTGTGAGTACTAATGGTGTTC